TCCGACCTACTCATTTCTCATCCTATCTTCCACTGATCATATCTGACTTTGAGTTCCTTCACGATTAACCTTACTTTTCTCTAAATTTGTTCAAGGGTTACTTTCCCAAATGGATTACCATACTCCAGCCATGGTGTGATCACTTCAGAACAAAATGGAAATATTACTTTACTTATCACAGAAATGTACTTTTATATGGCAAACTAGCTCCTAGGAGGTTTTTTTTTTTTTTTTTTTTTTTTTAATAATTTGAGAGTTCCCTTATTCTCACTGCAAAATCCTAACTTTTACCACAAAGTGCTGTTGTGGATTCAAAGCCAGTGGTCAACATTTAACACCAGCTGAACTGAATCAGTGTGTGCTGAGCATAGATGACCCACCTGAGGAAAGTTGTCAGCATAGAAAAGATGTAGAGAGGAAGAGAGCAGGGTTGTGGGTTCTCCTAAGTGTTGTTGTTTGGAGCTGTTAGTTCTTCTGGAGGAGTTTGTAGAGTTTCTTCCCTGATATGAACTTGGCTGTTCTCATCATGGGAGGATCTCGGGACCTCATTCTCACTGAGAATCACTGTGGTTCACTTTGGGGTAACTCTGGTGGTTATACTGAGCATCACTTCCTGGCTCTGAAGCAGAAGATGGTGTGCTGCTCAATCTCCAGAGCTTGTCATGCTGGCTTCCTGATTTGAACTTGGCTGTTCCATCATTGGAGGAGCTTGGGACCTTAATGCCACTGAGGGTGGCTGTGGTACTTTTTTGTGGGAGCTCTGGTCCTTATTTTGAGTGTTTCTTCTTGCCTCCAGTTAGAACCATCAACCTATTAGCACAGCTCCTTTGCCCTACTGACCTTGGACTTTCTAATTTCCATCGCTGACCTTTGAGCCTACCCAGTGCAGATCCATGAAACAGACTTGTGTGAGTCATTGTTGTGGGCTCTAGGCCTACAGTAGGACTCATGGGAGGTAAGCATTGTCATGGGCTCTTAGGTTTTCAGCAGAACGCATGCAAGTTATTGCCATGGGAAACAAACAAATCAAACTGATTAGGCCTTGTAAGTCCAAGCTGAGAAAGGGAAAGGCTTTAAATTTCTATCAGATTAGACGAGTTAATAATGCAAAATTTTCAAGTTGGAAACAGTGGAATCCAATGATGAGTAAAGAAATATAACCAAATGCCAAAATAAATGTCATTCACAAGTATTTTGTAGTATTTTAATGTCATTTAATTAAATATTAAAGATATAAAAGTACCCAGTAAATAGTTGTCCCCTAAATTCATATTAAAATCATCAGGAAGTATCAAAACCACTGGTGCTTGTTCTATATTCAGATTTAACTGGCCTGAGGTCAATTAAATTTAAATTTAATTAGCAGAGTTTTTAAAGCTTACCAGGTGATTCTATTGTGCATACAAGGTCAAGAACAGCTCTAGATATACAGTCTACCTTTTCTCAAAGTATCTTTTACTATTTTACTCTCAACTAACAATGGAAATTATTGAAAAAATGGAATTTTCACAGATAAGGTCCACATTTTGATCTTTCCTGGTCACTGTCATAGAGATTTGATTAAATAGTTTATATTCACTTCATTAAAGGTATACAGATAAATTCCAAGGATAGGATGTAGTGTAAAATGTTAAAAAGTTGTATTTTTAAAATTATGTATTTCAATGGAATTAGTCTTGTAAATATTGGCTTATAACATATTTGATTCCTATATAAAGAATGTATCTTAAGCATATATTGCCACAGAAGTTGAAAATAGGAAGGTTAAAGAAACACAGTTGAATGCCTTAAAACAAGTCTTTATTATAAGCATTCTTTCCTTTGAGTCATATATCACTAGTAAGTAAATCATATATCACTAGTAAGTAAGTCATATATCACTAGTAAGTAAATTTAAACACTGATTTAAACGTACCTCAAAATTGACACAGTGCATACTCCAAAATATAATTATCTTTGTTGCCAGACCTTTCATTAGTTCACTAATGGATTATTTTCCCTTCTTCTTCCCTTTTTTTCTCACTGATGAATGCAAGGTGGTAACAGTTTTGCTAGAAACTAAAAATATGAAGATGAGTAAGACATGGCCCTTACTCTGAAAGACCATTTATATAGTGGTAGAGTAATAAAGAGCCTAACATTTACAAATCAGTTCACAAAGACTGTAAAGAATGATGCTTAGAATGAATAAGGAAGAAAATCTTCTGGAACAGGGGAACTTTGGTGTGAGTCTTAAACAGAAATAAGGTTAAAAATTCTCATGCCTACAAAGCCACAAATAGGTACAAAGACAAGGAGCAAGAGAAAACATTGCTATGGAAGGTGGTAGTGACAACTGTTGTACACCCAATGGCACAGAAAAAAATACTGTTCTTTTAGATATAGCAAAAATGTTCCTTGTATGACACAGGTAGACCACAGAGCATTGACTGGGCTCTCACCCTGACTACTGGAACAAAAGCTACTGAGCTTCTGTATATGACCTAGTATACTAGTAACTTTATATATCACATTGACAATGGAATTTTGGCTGTATCTCCATGAGGAACTAGGGAGATATAAGTGTTAAATTCATTTTCTTAGATGTTTACATTGTATATGTCCTTGGTACTGCTTTGCTAGCTTAGTATAAAGTCTAAAGGAAAGTGATTTTCAAAAAGGTCTGAATTTCAGTCAGTCTTTAATTGCAAATTAACCTCTTTGATCTAGCCTAGCTTACGGGCACATTCTAAGTAGTGAAAAAGTACAGAACAGCTGGCGCACATGGCATAGACTAGGGAGTGGTGGACTGCAGTAGTAGGCAGAGGTGAGATCATGACATTTATAAACTTTGGCAAGTGAGTCTTGCACAAGGCAAGAAAGCCATAATTTTGAGGGATCCAGTATGACTGAATTTGCATCTTTAACAAATCAACAATGGCAGTACACAAAAGGATTCAGTAAGAGAACTAGAAGACTGGTGTAATGACACAGGTGAGAGATAATGACCATAATGTTTGTGGCAGTTGACATAGGGACATAGAACAGATGGTACACACACCAAGTAAGTAGTATGGAAGGAAAAGGAGGCATTCAGAAACACTCCAGGGCTTCTGGCTGGGCAGCTGCATTAATAATGATTTCATTCTGTGAGATAACACCAGAAGGGAACAGATTTTGGAGGGAAGATGATGATGAGTTAAATTGTATCTGAGAGACCATAGGCTGCATCCAAGAAACAAATCTGTAGCCAAGTCTAGATATGTAATTAATAGTAAACAAAAAATGAAGTTACCTTGTGACTTGGAAGTACCAAGTATGAAAATTAAGGTGATGGAGGGATTAAATCACATGACTGAGGTCAAAGTGTCGAGATGTAAACTAAAACGTGTGATGCAAAATTTTATTAAAAATGAAGATTAAAAACTCAGTTGTCACCATTGGCACATTTATTTTCTACCAATGTTTCTCATAAGAGTACTACGGAGTTGGAAAGGAATGCATTTTGAGCTATATGGTCTGCTGGAAATTTTAATCATTTAATAAAATATAGTTGCTAGACTTTTGAACCTTCTGAAATTCCAGTAAAACAAAAAACACTGTTCAAAATACAGAAGGGATATATTCACCTCAGGAAATGTGAGGTAAGCACTTTCTCAGCAAAAAAAAAAGCATCTAAGAGGAATATAAAAAGTTGTGCCAACATGGTTGACATGTAATCATTGTGGATTCAATCTAAATGTGTTAATTCAGAAAACGCTGTACTGGCAGATTTTTTTCTTTCATTAAGCAATGACCTAGCATAGAACAATGTACTGCTTACAGCAGCTGCCTTGTCTTTAAAAACACCAGTAAGTTTTACAACACTGTATGTAATGGAAATGTGGATGTCCTAGACCAGGTTTCCCATAAATACATCCAGTAAGCATACACGCTATGCTTCTCATTCTTTGCTGTATAATTTATGTAAAATTTATTAAAAATCTACAATTCCACTGTATCCAGTGTTTGTGCATATAAATTTAGGTAGGTGGGACCAAGAGGCTATATACTACACTTGATGTTAACCATTTAGCACACACACATAAAGCCATGGAAACACACACACAGACACAGGTAATTAAGCAGTGCTTTATTTAAAGTGTTGGACTGTTGGAGCACTCTCTGAATTCACACAAAAATTAAAATAGGTACACTGTAAGAAGTTTTTAAAAAAACAAGTGAAAATAAAGTTTGAGATTCAAAATGATGTAACACATCACTGTCCTCTTCCATCTTACAGCACTTGGATCTAGGAGTATTATGTTTTTGTCATGTAACAGTATAATCTTCTGAGCCACCCACCACCCAAAATCTATCCCCATAAAAACAGTTGTTAGCAGTTCTACAAAAGAGTGAGGTAGCTGAGGGTTCCTAAATGTTTTTATCTATTTAAAATATAATAGTGTTACCAATTTTAAAATACATTCTCCCCCCCACTTTTGTGTGTGCAGGAGTACACACACACACACACACACACACACACACACAGATTAAGTTCCAAAGGGTGTGCCGGTCACTCTGGTGTAGTGAAGCCTGGGTTGTGGCCACACTCTGAGGGTACACTCGTTCTCTGAGTGCAGGGGGATGTTATAACTAGCGGTATCTCGCTTGTACCTGGCTTCAGTGGGGGATGGCATTTGGCAGACCATACAGAACCCTGGCCCAGGAGATCAGGGGGCCAGGAGGGCAAGTCATTGCAGCCCAGGCAGTGACAGTGGGTTGTGGTCTGAGGGTATCATCCACCAGCCATCTCTCTTGACTCAGCCTGTACTCAGAAACCCTAACATCAGGAAACTTCTGAATTTGGCTCTTTGGTTGTGGGAGGCCAGCTCCAATCCTGGGGAACACTCACTCTACCTGGTGCTGTGAAAGCGGCTGGGTGCAGACACACATTGGGGATACTACCTCTCTCTTTTGAATCTGATTTCCAACATGCAACTTTTCCCTCTAGCCCAAGGGAGGTCCAAAACACAGGGAAATAAAATAATTTATCTTTATTTTGGAAGCAATTGTTCAAAATGCGTAACTGATATCTGCATGTTTAGATACAATGTTTATAAAAAGTTGACTGTTAATGAAAACCAAATTTACACTGGCTGAAAGAGCCTGGTTTGACTTTATGCCAAGAAATGACAGTGCTACTTGTAGAAACACTGCCCCCTAGTGTTAAAATTATTTCATTAGTTTTATAAAGCTGACAGTTCCTGTTCTTAACAATTTAAAGCGACACAAAAAGACCACGTTCTTACCATACGGTCTATTAAATTTTAGTTTGATAGCAATTCAGTAGAAGTCATGCAATGAAATATCACTGAATTCACAAATTAACTCCACTTATAGTAAAATGGCAGCCAACATTACCTATGTGCAGTTAGTAGGGCCTAAATTAAAAACAAAACCTAATAGACATCAATATTTTATATCCTGCAAGGATACTGCAGAGACAATAAGACATGATTGCTTAACAACATGGTAGTTACTGAATCAATATTTCTCAGTAATAATAATGAGACAACTTTTCATTAGATACTTTGGCACAGATAATCCAAAATCATAGATAATAAAATAAATTTATTTGGTTATAGAATATTATATTAAATAAAATGTGACTGCCTGCTATTCTGTAAATTACAACTTTAAACAAAATAACACACAGTGAATTAGAAACTCATCAAGCTTTCTCAATATGTGAAATTATTTCTTAAGCTTTATTGTTACCATTAAACGAAACAGTATTTTGCATGAATCTGAAATTTCTAGATTATATGTGATCAATGCCATCCCTGAATTGTAAGAAATGAAATATTTTACTTATTTCAAATTTCTCACTGGGCTATCAGATGCACAGAAGAATTAAATTAAACAAGACACCAAGCTGTGGCAAACTCACAACACATACTACAATATTCTGGCTTATTAACTTTCACTTTACTAAACATCTTGATGTCTATAAATCTGTTTAATCTATCCCAGTACCTCAACAAAAATTTTAAATGATTTATGAAGAAAGAATATTAATGTAAAGTTATAAATAAAATTTAGGTAGCCTTAACAGTAAAACCTGAGAAATTTAAATCAGAAAATATATGTTCCAGTCTTATCACAAATTACGTGACTTTAAACTTCACCTGTAGGAGGCTCAGTTTCTCACCTGAGTATAAAGGACAACACCCAACCTATATATTTCATATAGTACAAAGGCAATCTTGGTAACTACCTAAGCAGAAATTATGGAATCATCAATGACTTGCCTAATCTTCCTCACCTCTCAATTCTATTATCTATTGATTCCATCTCTCCAATAGTCTCTCTAATCCATCTACTCTCCATTTTATTTTCTACTGCTTTATTGAGACTTCATTCTTTTCTGAAATATTTTTACTGACTCCTATTTAATCTCTCTGCTTTGTCTCACAATACAAATTCATCATATTAGATAACAAGGAAATAAAAACACTCCTCTGCTTTTGATGCCTACCAATTGCCTGGAAAATAAACTCCAGACTTTTGACATGGCATTTGAGACTCCTACCATTCTATTTCTAACCTGTTTGTCCAGTCCTCATTCTGCCCACACTGTTCTGTGTCTAGGACATGGTATAAATTTCCAGAGTTCCATTCTCTGGTTCATGATGTTCCTTCACTGTTATGGTTGTTCTTAATTTGTTAAAAATCTATACATACTCTGGCCCGCGTGTCATCTTTGCTATAATACATTTTCTATCCTGCCTCTTGGGTAAAATTAACCCTTCTTTTTTCTGTACTGTTTATTGTTATTAAAATTAAACTTTAGTTGTAAGACTTGTTTTCTGCAGTGCATTGGACTCAAAGGAAAAAAGTCTTAGCCATTTTGGTAAATTTATGCATATCTGACAAATAAATGTTCAAAAAAATCTATTCTTGGTTTATATAATAATGAGAACATTTTATAATCATCTTCATCTATAAACATTTGTAGTCAATTATCATTTGAGTTAAAATAAAAATCATTTGGATTTGGTAATAATAGTGAAAATATACCCTAAAGATGAACTGTCCATTGTAATCCTGTAAGTGTTACACAAATCAATTTTTCCCTTGCCATCAGTTTGGAAGGAGGATGAAAAGTTATGCAAAAATCCAGTCAAATATCTGTAAAATATGTAGAAATAAAATATGAGGTCCTTAATAGTAAAATTAGAATATCAAGGGAAGAATCTTAACATCTGTTAAATTGTTTTTATTAAAGAACTAAAGATATTATAAAAGCTAAAAATAATAATTCAGTTAAAAATAACTTTGAGGAAAATTGCATATACAGTAGACTAAAGAAGTAGTACCAAATCATTATCATGATATATTTTGTATGACTCTCTTAAGAAACCAACTGTAAGAAACATCATTTTACTTGTGAAATTATGCTGAACTTTGCTTTCTGACTGTAGACAAGGCAACAGCAAAGCAACCACATCCTGTGGGCCAAATGTGAACCCTCACCTGGTGCCTTATTAAAAGCAGTTTAACAGGTACCAAGACATACCATTCATTTCTGTATTTTCAATATGTGCACTTGCTCTACAATAGGAGAGGTAAGTAGCTAAGATAGATATTATATGCCCCATAAAGCATATTTACTACAGTTCTTTAAAGAAAAATTTGGTCAACTCTGGTGTAGACAGAAATCAGAAATACAGCTGAAAAGTGAGCTAGCTTGCCTATTTAATGGATTTATTATTTTAGAATTTAAAATCCTTACCCAAAAAAATCTGCTCAAAAAAATGAAAGGTATAAAGATATTATGATAGAAAATGTAAAGATGTTAAGTAGACAGTAGAGATAAAGGTCATATTTTCATATTTTTAACATAAGCTTGTCTCATTATGCTTGATTAACTAGAAAAACAAGTAGCTATTCTTTGCATAATACAACATGTTATAAAAAAAATGAACTTTTGGCCACTATCGTATCACTAACTTAACTCTTCTTACAGGAATAAAAAAGGAAAGTTAAATATTAATTTTAAAATGAGAAGGAAAGAGGCATGAAGAGTGAGGGAAAGAAATGGGAAGTGGGAAGAGACGGGAGAGAATGGAAGAGAGGCTGAAGAGAGGAGGAACCTACTGTACCTCAGTCTCTAATTGAAATGAAGCCAATCTGTGTACCAAAGTTAAGGCCATCTCGCACGAAGGAGAAAAACTTTTCAGGATGGCAGGATGTACAGAGGTTGAGATCCTGGTTCTGGTCCTGAATATTCTGTGGTAGAATTCCTCCTTGTTCTAGAAGAATCCTTAAAAGATTTTTCAAAGAACAGCAAGAGTTTATTTTACCAATACCCAAAGCAATATGAAAAACATAAAGATATTGTTGTAAAAGAGCTCCAGGAGAGATCTACTTGGGATAATGTGAATTGTCATTTGCGCACACATGGACCATCAGGATATGATAGCTTTTATCACCATTTACCACCTCGGTTCATACAGAGCTGCACAAACTTCCATAATGCCCTGAAGAAATGATCTGGGTACATTCTATAATCAAAATCAAGTGCTTAAAAATTCTCAAGTTAAGAGCATTTGTGGGCAAGATTCATTTCTTTCAGACACAGTGCTTTTCAGTCATTTAATTTTCACATCTCATCTTTAATTAAGAACCAGATTTTTCATTTTCAAAAAAACCCTGCTTTTTTATATGAAATACAAGTAAATATTAGTGATAATTCTTTTAGTATTCATATTTAACAGTCAATTTTAATACTTTCTACTTCTGTAAATGAGGCTGAATCTGGGAAAAATTTTGCTGAGGACAGGAATACAATTCAAATCAGATGTTCATTTCCCTTTTTAGAAATGGCAAATAATTTTCAGCAGATATTAAATCAAAATTTTGCCAGGTGGGATGGTATATGCCTATAATCCCAGCACTCAGGAAGCTGAGGCAGGAGGATTGCAGCAAGTTTGAGGTCAGCCTGGGTTACATGGTGAGTTCAAGGGCAGCCTGAACTGTACAGCAAGACCCTGTCTCAAAAAGCCAAAAAGAGTCAAACAAACAGACAGAAACAACAACAAAAATCAAAATTTCACAGGTTAAAAATGCTGGAGACTTTATACTACCTATTACTTTTGCCAAGCAATAATACCTCTCTGGAAAATAAAAGTGTTTTGAAGATACTAGTTTCTTGATAGCTCATTACATTTAAGATAATTTATCTGAATAATAACTATGAAGTAAAGTACATGCCACCTTTTCTACAGTTTAAGTATGTTTCTTCAAAGGCCAAATGTTTGTTCCTTTATGTTTATATCACGAAGCGATGCCAAACATTTTCTGTAATTAAAATTTTAAAAAATAGATTTATATTTTAAATGAGTTTTTGTGTATGTTATTTAAGTATCTGCCAGCTACATTGTTCTCAGAGTTACAAACTGTTCTCTAAAATAATTTCCATTTCAGAATTAATAAGCAATAATCAAACTTTAGTTTCAGAAAGAAATTACACAGACCTAGTAGCTTTACGGAGGTCGATGTAGGGATCTGGTGAGTCAAACAGTCGTACACACGCAGGATGAAGATTATGAAATGCATCTGCTGATTCTTTGGGAAGAGTAAAACAGCAAGGTCCTACTGAAGGTCCCAATACAACAATAATGTCTTCCAAACGACAGTCATATTCTGATATCATTGCCTTTACTGTTGCCATAGCAACACCTAACAAAGTACCTTTCCATCCTAGTAAACAGAAAGAAAGAGATAACTTAAACATACAATTTCAAGTGAAATCTGCCTCTATTTTAAAAATGAACAGATTATATATTTTTCAAAATCCAGATGTAATAAATGAATCATAAAATTAATTACATTATAATACCAGTTTTAAAATAAGATTATACTATGCAAAGCTCCTGACCTAGACATTTAATGGGAGTTTTGCTGCACTTCCTTTTGAAAATGTTCTATTATGTTTAGTTTTTACTGGGATTATATCTTTTAAAATTTTCTTTCCTCTTTTTATTTGTGTGAAAAAAATCCATTTTAACAATTTTATAGCATTTAGTTCATTTACACCATTATATAATTGATTTCCAGGGCTTTACTTATAAATCTGAAACGTATCCGTATTTCCCTCTTCTCTTACCCATGATCACAATTTTTCTTCCTGCTTCCAATAATTTGATTATTTTAGACATTTCACATAACTGGAATAGTCCAGTATTTATCTTCTTGTGATGGGCTTTTTTCAATTTGGCATAAAGTCCTTAAGATTTATTCATGTTGTAGCATCTGTTAGAATTTTCTACCTTTCTAAGGTTGAGTAATAATTTTACTCTATGAAGATCATACAATTTACATTTTGTTAACCCACTTATTTGTTATTGTACATTTAGGTTGCTTCTACTTGTTGGATACTGTAAATAATGCTGCCATAAACATGAGTGCATAAACACCTCTTCTACATCCTGCTTATAGTTCTTTTGGATATATATTCAAAAGAATAGAATTGCTGCATCACCAACAGAATTTTCATCGTATTGTATATCTTTAAAATTTTTGAAGAGAAAAACAATTACTTACACCAGTTTTATATAGTTGTACCATTTTCATTCCCAACAACTGTGCAATAGGGTTCAAATTTCTCAAAACTTAATACTTTCTATTTTGTGGATTTTTATTGGTTTTTTGGTCTTAACTTTAGCCATCCTGATGAATGTGAGATGACACTGTAGTCTTGATGTGCATTTCTCTATTTACAAGTGATCCTGAATAACTTTTCATGTACCATTGGTGCTTTACATATTATCTTTGGAAATATATCTATTCCTTTGCCATTTTCAAATTTAGTTTTGTTTCCTGTTGTATGAGTTCATTATTCTGGATATTAACTCTCTAGCAAGCACATGATTTGCAAGTATTTTCTTCTATAGGCTGCCTTCCCACTCTAAATTACATCCTTTCATGCACAATCATTTTCAGACTGATGACGCCCAATTCATCTATTTTTACATTTGTTGCTTGTGCTTTGAATATCTAAGAAACCACTGTCTAATTCAAAGTCATAAAAATTTGCACTAATAATTTTCCCTAAGAGTTTTATAGTTAAATGTCTCACATTTAAATCTTTGATCTATTTTTACTTAATTTTAAAATATGATGTAAGGTTATGGTGCAACATAATTCTGTATGTGGATACGCAATTTTCCAAGTTTCCCCCCTCCCCCCCACCAGCGGCTGTCCTTTTACTAGAAGATATTGCTAGAGGTAAAAGGCATGTGACTACACTCAAGGCTTTTTTGATTCTATGCTACTCCACTGATACATATGCATGTCTTTAGACAAGTAGCATACTATTTTGATTGACATAATCTTGTAGTAAGTTTTTAAATCAGGAAGTGTGAGATATCCGACTTCGTTCTTTTTTAACACTGTTACAATTATTCAAAGCGTCTTAAGATTTCTTGCTTAAAAATACTGGCACTCAGTTGAGACTCAGATTCATTAGGAATCTACCTATGTACCACCTCCTTTGGGAGTTCAACTCTGAGTCATATAATTTAATGTTTTTGTCCCCTCCTATATGAGTACACGCCATTTCTATCATTATACGTATCACAAAGTAATATAATTGTCATGCCCACCACAAAAATCTGTACTACAAGATAGGTTCAATCTTCAGTGTTTAATTATACTTACCAGAATGAGCAACTCCACATGCTTTTTTAACAGGATCTGCAAAAACTATAGGTATACAGTCAGCACCAAGAGCTGCTATTGTGACTCCTTTCTGATTTGTGGTTATTCCATCATAAAATTCAGGCTCTTTTTTCCCCATAATCCAGACTTCATTGGCATGATCAATCTAACAACAAAGACATGTGATAAAAATGCTTTGAAAATGAGATTTCTCAAAATTTTACTGAAAGTACTTATTTCAGTACAAAATTATATAATTAGTGTAAGAGTACTAGAATCCAAAAAACTTCAGGATATAGTAAAACACCAAATGCAGTATCTTATACACATTTCACTCAAAGAAAAGCAGACTTAAAAGTTTCAATATAATCCATCATGAATGGAGAAGATACCACTTAAAATGGATAAATCTCTACTTGCAACATTTTCCACAAAGTATATTTTCATTTATAAAAGAAAATTAAATGATCAAATCAATAATAATTTTACTTCTCCAGATTCAAGTATGAGATATGATTTGGAAACTATGGTGAATGTTTAAATTTTTAAAAGATAGTAAAAATACACATTGCTATTTATCCCCCTTAAAATACCGCCATCACTTCAAACATCCCATTGTCCTTGACACTTGCTAAAGTAGTTCTGGGAAATCCTTTTCCTGAGTATCTTTAGTTGTGCTTTTATTGCTGCCTCATTGCCCTGAATTGGCTAAAAACATGTACCTTCCAAGGTCACTCTGACTTAGAGGGGACAGCTAGAAGTCACACAGTGCCAGCTCCAGTGAATAGGGAGAATGAGGACACACCATAATGCTTTTAAAACTCTTTCCTTTTCATTTGATAGCACTTGGCAGCAACATTCACAAAGTTTTGGTTTTTTTTTTAATCACACCTCATAAAGACACAGGAAAAAGCAGGGGGAAGTATTTTGAGGGAGATTAATGACAATTTATCCTTTACAGTAGTAAATTTTTAATTTAAACATTCAATGTATATTTCAATCACATCCCATAAAGCTAGAATTCTGTGAAGAAAACAATATCGCATCCATTACGCCTCTAGGTTTCCCTACTGTTAATTTAGAAAATTATGGCGTCTCATCCACAGTTCAGGACATGCAGTATACTTTCTGAGAATTAACCATAATTTTAGAATTGAGGAGCTCCGGTAAAATATATGTCATAGAGCTGATCTTTAGGCTATGATGTACAAATCTAAGAAAAAGAACTATAGCATTATCCTAAAACATTAAAGGAAATACTAGAAGCAAGAGTACAGGCTAAGACAAAAATATACTTTAGATCTTCCAAAATACAAAACAAAATTTTACCTTTACTCGGTAAAATTTCTCTGCATTAAATCCTGCAGTACTTGCCAACCTACGCAGGTTTTCTTGAACAACCATTTTGGGATCTCTCCGTTTGGAACTACTGAAGAGATTTAATGAGCTAAGAGTTGGTATGTAAGAGATCCCACCTGCTCTTGTAGTAAATCCATGTATGAAGATGTCTGTTGAAGATAGTAAAGATTAAGACGCTGTTCTACGAAACATCATACAGCATTACAAAAGCCAGTCTCTCCAATTAAACCTTCCTGATCATTTCAGCCTGTGCTTATTTATTGTTTCTAATTCTGACAGTACTTTGTTCCATATATTATTACATACTGCTGTTTGTTTTACCTTCCCTATTGGATTAATGCTATTCTTGTATCTCTTTGTTATACCCAGTGGAATATAGCACACAATAAATATTGTTTAACCAAGAAAGAAGACTTTATACTAATAATCTCATCCTTCTACAAAAGTGTCAATGAGTTGAAGTTTCAGAATTTCTAAACAGATTTTCAGAGTGAGAAACTTCACTTTCATGGAGAGTTGGAGGATTTGTCTGAAAACTGAATTTGCATGAAGCAAATTATTTAGGGTGGCTTTAAAGGAGTCATCCCTTGGCACCCTTGACTCACAAAGCCAACTATAACAACTACCTGGTACAAATGATGCTGACAAATAAATAAATAAAGGAAGACCACAAGAGTTAACAAAAGAAAAGATGGAAGAAAGGTGACCAACCTCTGAAGGCTGGATTTTGATGTACACAGTAAAAACAGCAGATAGTGTGGAATATACCTGGGATCAGAGAGGATGTAATAACAGTTAATTTTCCATTCAGGGATGGCAGACTTCTCAAATACATTTTTATTTCATCCTGGATTTTTTCTAGTTCAGGAGCTGTGATCACTTCAGTGGACTGCTTCAAAAGGCCATCCTTTACCTGTAAATCTTCAAACTCAAAACTGTAAACCTCAGTAAAGAGTTGGTCAATAAAAGCTTTCATTAGTGTTGTCCTGTGTACCGGTACAATCACCTTAATACTTCTCACATTTTTTTCATCAATTTTTTGCTTAACGATGTACAAAGAGGCAGCCATGCTTGGATTACTAACAATCTCAAAGTCATTCAAGAAGGCTGAAAATTCATTGCTTGTTTCCAGTTTACAATTATCATGTTCACTATCCCACTCGCAGCTCATGTTACTGCAACATATTATACACAGGAACTGGGCCTTGCCAGCATGGTGGTGTCGGACTGTATTTAGTGTCTTCCGTAATGTCTGATGGCACTTTTCCTGAGAGTCCAATTCCAAACCAAACAGATCAATCAAAACTGCTTCTGCCATCTTCCAATACCGTACACAGTTCTTCAAAGAATACTTCGGTGACAAACAAATAATCTCCAAACAAAAATAACCACAAGCAAAGAATTCAAAATCATCGATCCTACAACAGAAATTTGTGGCAGGTAAAAAATTGATCTGCATTGATCTCTTTCAAAGTAACTAAAATAGTAAGTCTAGAATCATTTTAGAAAAGCTAGTCTATTTGTCATCAGAGACGCATGATATTAAATCCATCCTTTATTTTGTGAAAGTGTAGGTATGTATATCTTTCCAGCAGAACAACAGTTCCTGAGGCTTTATTATTTTACTTTCTTTATATAGCAAATTTATTAGGAAATTACTTGCCTTAGTCAAAGTTCACTTTTTAATTATAGCGTGTTGATCCATGCGAATAGTTCCAGCATGATTATCATATTAGGTCACATGTGAAATAGAAAGGCCTGAAGCTCACCAGGTTATACACAGGAAAGAAATAATGAGATGGAAAGATCTCCTCTCAGAGTTTACACAGTACTCCACACCTGGCCACGACTACAAACGTGACTTCAGCTTTGGATCGGAGAGCTTTATCCCTACCTGCGTCTTTACTCCGTGGCTCTCATTTTCTCAGTCCTGCCCCGCCCTCCCGCGCCAGGCTGCGGGTCCGTGGGTCCCGCCACCTCTCCTCCCCGCCGCTCCCCAAGCACCGGGTCCTGCTAAAGTTTGTTCATTTCGCTGGTGAACAGTGACGGGTGACCACCCGCCCTGCCTAGCACTCGGTCAACCTCCACACACGGCTCCGCGCCTGGTCCCGGATCCTCCCGCCGGTGCTGGGCTCAGGGTCCGCACCCGACCGCCCACTGCCCGCTCGCGGGAACTCCGACTTCAGGAGATCCCGCGGCACCCGAGGCGCCCTCGCACGGTTTCCACGCACGGCTGCAGCAAGCGAGCAGCTGTGCGGCGTGCCACCCCTCGGCCCGCGTTTCAGCGAAGCCGGGAAGCGAAAAGCCCGCTCGCCTCCTCACCTACCTCACAGACCGCCGAAGACCCTCTGCTCGCCGCGGACCTGGGCTACGGGGCCCGAGAGGACGGGGGGCGGGGCCAAGACGGGGGCGGGGCCACGCCGGGGATTCCCGCGATGAGCACAGCGCGCGCGCCAGCCGGCGGCCGCCGCCGCCTCAGCAGTTCCGGGAGGGCGTGCCGGCCCGCGCCGAGGAAGAGGAACAGCTGCGGGAGCTGCGAGGGCTCCCGGGCCGGAGCTAGGCGGTCCGCGGGGAGGAGGCGGGCTGCTCGCCGGAAAGGGGACGGTGGGAATGCGGCTTCTTGGGAGGGACGGAGGTGGGAATGAGCGTGAGGCCGGACGGCGGGAGCGGAAGTCCGTCCGTCCGCTCGGTCGGTCGCACGGCACGGCACGGCAGATGCGCTGACCCAGCTGTGTGGTGGGGACACTGGGTCTCGCCAGCACCGGCGTGGAGGGGCCTGCCACGTTAGCACGTGACAGCTGGACCGGTCCGGGTTCCGTAATGGCTCTCTGTGGGGGAATGTTTAGTGTCCTCTGCTGGTTCTGCCTCTCTCACTGACAGAAACAGCGCTCTCCACGGCATGCATATATGCAATGGGTCCCAGAACCTTTGCAGTTATATTTCCAGCCTTTACTTTTTAACATTTGTTTATTTAATTTGAAACAGCATTTTGCTAAATTGACCCGACTGGCCGCAAACTTTAGATCCTTCTGCTTCTGCCTCCCAAAGTGCTGGGATTACAGGCATGCTCCACCTTGTCCTATATGTGCACCTTTAAAAACTTCAGTTAATAGGACAGAGGAAGGCAGAAATTCCTAGAATTGTGTTAAAGGTACAATTAACCTTTGTCTTCCAAGAGTACAATTTATTTATTGAAAAGTATTGAACAGCCGCTATGTAAAATACATGTGTTATGGTAGAGGGAAAAGTATACAACCTTCCAAAAAGAACAAGAATGCTTCCAGTTGAACGCGCTGTAATGGAAGGAGAGGTTCCTATTATCTTTATTGTTGTTCATGTAGTGCTGAAGAATGTTTTCCTGAAAAGAAAGAATCTCTGTTATCGGAAAGTTTAAAAGGTGGTCACCTGCTTATTAAATACACATCAGCAGACTAGGAATCCAACATCCATTATGGTTGGCAACTGTTTTTCATCAAATTTGTATTTTCATTGAAACTTTGGAGTAGTGACTTGTACACCTGATGGGTAAATATACTCTTGACTCTGAACTTGTTTTATGTCAACTGTTACCTTAAGCAAAATAGACATCTTTTAGTTGCAAAGGTTTAAAATATTTGTCATTGTTTTATAGACAGTAGGGAAAGTCAGATTCTTAAATGCAACAGTAATATGTGTGTGGGTGGGGGGTGGTATTTCCAAATCGTGAATTTGTTAGGGAAGTATGTTAGGTTGTGTTTATGTACCATTTCCTTTTACCAGGCGCTGCCTGCTTTATCTCCTAACATTCTCTCTACCTTATCCTTCTTCAGTGGTTCTCATTCCTGACTGCACATCAGAACTACAAGTGGAATTGTTTTTTTAAAAATGCTGAAATCCTCAGTCCAGATGCTCATTAAATCAGAATTTCTGGAAGTCAGGCCATGGAATATTTGCTTTACTTTTTTGTTCTAACTTGTAAAGATGATTCAGATGCATAATTAGACTTCAAAATAACTTCCCTACTCCCGAGGTCTTCAAATAACTTTTTGGATAGGTGACATGATTTCATCTTTTACATTTGATACTTGTTCTACTTAGAACAAACACTCTTCTTTTTGTATACCTATTTAACTGGTACTGGTTGTTCAAGACTCTTTAAGTGCAAACATAATCTTTCTTAAATCCCCATACCTTTATCACACAGAATAGCTTCTGTAACATTTTGTTCTCATGCAAGAAGTTCTCATAGATGCAGTGTGAACCATAATGAATAAATTGTAAAAGTTGGTTAAACATTGGATTGTGTACTTTATAATATGAACTTTATGGTATGTTAGTTATACAAGTTATATATAAGTAAAGCTTTTTTAAAAGAAAAGTCAGTTAAACCAGAGAATCATGAAAAAATGTACTTTCAACTTTTATTTTACTCTAAAATGGCAATATACATATTTGCCAATCTGAGAAAGTCTAGGGCCTTTTCTTGGCATATGGTCTTTGGATTGAAGTTCTGCATTTTTTCTTTTGCATAAACCATAAAGTTAAACTATCAGCTAAGATTTCTCAAAATTTTCTTCCTTTATGAGGAAAATAACTTAAAGGAACTTGTGAAGCTGAGTGCAGCTTTGTTTTACACAATCTGTATAGTTATCCCAAACATCTTTATTGGGTCTTTCCCAAATATTAAGCAGATTTTAAAGCCAACAAATTTTATTTTTGTGCCTTTTTATTTGTTTACATATAATTGTAAAAGTACAATATCAGGCACAGCTGGCAAAAACAGGTTTAGAAACAGCTCGTGGAAGATTGTACAGTTCAACCGGTAAAGCAGCAATAGTCAGACTCACTAAACAGTAGTTTGCTAACCATAAGCATTAATCATGATATGGGAATCAGTCACTTATAATTTGTGAGGGAAATGGAGAGATTTACTTGGTTAGATATCAAGTGTATCTCTTAATTATTTGACTTTACTACATACCTTCCTTAGCGAAATTTACAGTACTTATTTTGAAAACAATGATAGGATTTGATTGTTAAGAACTACTGGGGAAATCCCCTTACATTCTTATGCAACCTTGTAAATCTTAGAACAAGTGGGGTTTTTTAAAAAGCTGAATAGTTCTTCATAAGTTATTTACACTGACGTTTACGGATTATTACTGAAAAGGCCGCATAATATGCAAATTTCCTTGATGCAAGCTTGTGTTTCCTGGGGCTGTCATAACAACCACAAACTGAATGGTTTAGCTGTGACCAATCTATGCTGCTTTAACGTTGTCATGAAAATACACAAAAGAGGAAGCTTTGTTATTTACACAGATTAACTGTGTTATATATTTTGTATGTGACCTAAAACTTGCTCTTCACTCAAAAAAAATGCAAAACATAAGGCATACCCCAGGTTGGACCTAGATAGCAAAACAAAGCTCAGTCTCACAGTTATGAAGACTATATTGTGAAATTGAGGTGTTAACAGAACCCTTTGAAATTTTCCTTGACCCTTCCAATCTTCTGGGGTTCCAGACCTGTCTTTGATAGTGGATGCATGACGGGGTTTCATCCTTTCACCCTCATATTGTCTTTACTGTATGCCTGGGTCTAAAATCTCTCTCTGCATTCCTCTTATAAGTATACCTGTATGAAAATTACTGAAGCTAACCAAGTGAGAATAAGAGATGACTGTGTAATTCAAAGATTGCAAACTATTACTTGCATGTTGACAGGGAAAAGGGCAAGGAGAGGAGGAGATACAATGTGATTGGAAATGCTGATATGGGAAGCTGTAAAGCAGTCTAACTAGAAGTGAGGAATCTTATGTGATTGGTTAGGGAATGCATATGTAGCTTTCCTTGTTTGGTCCCAACTTTCAAGTAGAGATAAAAATTAGTGAAAAGTCAAGAACTGGCTGTTTTGAGTCAAACTATATAATTTGACTTCCTGCATTGTTACTTAAAATAGTGGTTTGATGTCCTACAAGTCTGATTTATAGATAATTGGCTTCCTGGGCTGCTTACTGTAGAAAGTGGTTTGGTTTCCCAGGTTGGTTACTGCAGGTTGTGGGTCAGATAATATATTTTTATGGTCATTGTTTATATAATCTCACCTGTCATTGATTTAGGGCCCAACCTAACTCCAAGATCTCAGGATCTTTTACTTAATTATATCTGCAATTATTCCTTTCCAAATATAATCACATTCACTTGTTCTGATGTTAAGACATGAATGTATTTTTTTTGGACATTATTCAACCCACTACAAAGCTCTTGGTTTAAAAATAATGCTTGTTTAGAGTAATATAAGAGGAGTTGGGATTCTAGCTTTTCTGTTGGGTAGGATAATTGGGACAGTTTTTGTGAAATATCTTTATGGATTTCCCAAAGAGCCTGTGAAACACCGCCTTGGTTACTTTTCTCTCATTGCTGAGGCAGAAATACCTGACACCCAAAGTGAAGCAAGGAAAGGTTTATTTAGCTTACAGTTTTTTGGAAGCTTTAGTCCATACTCATCTGGCTCCAAGGGAGGGTGCCCAGGTTGAGGGGCAACCATGCATGACGGCTGCCATCAGCAAGAACAAAAAGGGAAAATTGCACCTCTTTCCCTCCCTTCCACTGCATGCCAGTTACCCGTCCCTGGGCAGGTACAGCACTCACATCACTAATCCCAGCATTAGACAAGGAACCAATCACAAATGCTAGACTCAGCTGCCTTCATAACTGCATGAGGCTTTGGTGGGGGCCCTTAAGCCATAACAAACACCAACAATGAGTTCTCTTTTGTGATAATCTTGGGCAAGTCTAGTTTTATTTCACTGAGATCTGCATATTTGTAGAGACTTCCTTACTAGTGAACCTGGGGTTTGGGTCCTAAAAACAAAAAAGATGAATTTATAATTTACTGAGATGGCAAGACTAAAGGAGCAGGTTTAGTACTGGTAATAGTGTGGACAGAGAAATGAGTTCAGTTTAAAACATAAGTTGAAATGCTTGTTAGAAATCCCAATAGAGGTATCATGGAGGCGATTTGATCTAAGCATATAGTTCAAGAAGGATTTCAGACTAGAGAGATAAGTTCTGGAGTTCTCAGCCTAAAGTGGATTTGTTTCTTTCAAATTTTTATATTTGTTAGTATATATTTGCGGTACCTCAGTTACATTCATCATGAGTTAGTAATATATATTAACACATCTTAATTCTGTTACAACCCCTTTCTCCCCCTATCTCCCTTCTCCTTGTCTCTGGTTCCTCTTCTCTGTAAGTGGATTTTAAAATTACAGAACTGGATGGGATAAGGTGTTGAATGAGAAGAGAGGACTGAGCACTAGAGCATTCTAACAAAAGTGAGAAAGATAAAAAAAAAGCCAGCAAAAAAGACCAGATAATGTTGTTTTAGAGAAGTCAGTCATAATTAAATGTGACAAATGATGGCATTAGGTCAAGTAAGATGAAAACTAAACTTGTCCATTGAAAAGGACAAAGAGAAGCCATAGAGAAGATCTTTAAAATAAATGTTTGATTCTAGTGAGTTCAAAATGAATGAGAATAAACGAAGTAGACTGCAAATATCTTGTTTATAAAGGAGAGCAAAGAAATGGATCACCAGCTAAACTGGTATAAAAAGCAAGGCTGGTATTAGTGGTAGGAATTGATTTATGCTGAGTCATAACACATTGTCTTACTTTCTCATTACTAAGACAAAACACCTGACACCCAAACTTAAAGAAGGAAATGTTTATTTAGCTCACAGTTTGTAGAGGTTTTACTCCATAGTCAGCTGGTTCCAAAACTAGGTGGCATGACAGAGGAGCAGTGCCAGCAGAAAGCAGCAAGCCACAAAGCAAGCCTGTCTTCCTTTTTCCCTTGCAGTCCATCCAGGTTGTAAGCCTATTGATTAGTGCCACTCATACCCAGAATCAGGCTTCCATCATCTACACCCAGATCTCTTCTAAACCAATTTAGTTATCACACACCATTAACCCCAGCATCACGGACTCTAATCCAGCCACCTCCCCAAAGCCTCACCACCTATGAGCATATGAGCTTTGGGGGGACATCTAGTTACAAACTGTAACATATGTGTCGTCATATGAAGAGGGGTATTATGTTGAGTAGAGATTCAAAGAAGTACTATCTGAAAATAGGTGAGAAAGGAGTACAGAAAACAATGAGACTTTATTCATTTCAAGGAAAGTGTAGAGTAGGTACAGGTGCAGAAAAACTAGTAGATGGAGTAGTTTAGCCATCTCTGGTATTTTATATTCTCAGTTAAATAAAATGCTGTCATTTGAAAGAGGAAGAGGAGAGCTGAGGGCAATTTGAAGACAAGGTGAATGAAATAACTTATGGGGCTTGATGACTTCTAAGGGCCTCCAACAAGGGCCCATTTGCCATAAATTATTTTGAATTTACACTGAGATTATAGCACAGTTGTGTCTTTAAAAAGCATAATTAGCTATCTGCCTATATATGAAGCACTTGGTTACATTTTTCTACCGGAGAAGTGAGGTGAATGTGAAGAATTGGAGCTAGGAAGGAGGTAAGAATACAGAGAGACTTGAGGGATCGTGTAAACAGAGAAGAATTGATGGATTAGGAATCTTGGTGTGATTGAAGAGCTCTAACAAGCAAAATACTAGATGAAATGAGTTAGAAAATTAAAAACCAATTAAAATTGGCCTCAGAGAGGCCAGATATTACATAAACTGTGGTAGCTTTTCATTGTTAAAGCAAAGTACCTGAGAAAAACAACTTAAAGGAGGAAATATGTATTTTAACTCTGTTTAGAAGGTTCAGCCAATGGTCCACTACCTCTGTTGCTGTGGACCTGTGGTAAGGCAGAATATTGCAGTAAGAGCCTTCAAAGTTCTTCACCTCTTGGTAGTCAAGAAAGAGACCAGAGCCAGACTGAGGAAAGGTCTAGGGACAAGGCGCACCCCACATACCTACTTCCTTAATTATACCACTTCCTGATGTTTCTACCTTTCGATGTCATCAAATTATGAATTCATCAGTGGTTTAAACCACTGATGAGACTGGAGCAATCATAATCCCAAAAGCCTTACCTCTGAACCTTACTATAGTGATAAGCGTTCAGAACATGAAACTTTGGGGGAATGTTATGTATCAAAACTACAATGTGTACCATCTGTGTGAATGTTGAAATTCAAAAAAAAAATGAGTGTTTAGTACATCGTATTTTATAATCTAGGGATGAGGAAAGAGAATCTACAAGTCAGGGATAGGGAAAGCTTAATCTGATGACATGAACTTCAAAGAAACTAAAAAGTTTTCCTAAAAAAAAAAAAAAGGCCATAATTAAGCAGTATTAATTAGTGACAGGGAAAACTCAGCTCTAGACCTAGTAACCTGAGGATGAAAAGCAAAAAAGGTGAAAGGGAGGTTCACTGAAGAGGTTTAAGTTTGGGTTTTACTGAAGGTCTTGAGTTTCAGAAGCCACAACAGAGGAATATAAAAGGCTTGAAGAGTTGGTTACACAGTATCATATTAACAGTGTCAAAAGGATAAGTCTTCATGATGAGTGATTTAGGAATCTTAGGCTCTTGAAACAGATTACAGAGATATAGTAGATAGTGACTATAGTTTACATAGTATGTTAAGCAGATTGTAGAAATTACAATTTGGAGAAAGGAGAAATGGGGACTCCTCAGGAAGGTGACATCTCTTGAGAACTACTAGGAGTAGGAAGAACTTACTGGGTTCCTTTTTTAGTCATGCAAACTTTGGTGAAAATCTGTACTTTCCTGAAATAGTTCCCCAAAGGAGAAAAGTGGAAAGTAGTAATGGGACTAGAAAGGAGGAAGATGAGTGTTGGAGATACAGCTCAGTATAGTGTGTGTGCTTAGTATGCACAGTCCTCAGTTCAGTCCACAGCACCGTAAGGAGCAAAACAAAAAGGAAATTTATTCAAGTGACATTTTAACAAAGAGTACAAAATCGTTTGATTCTGGAGTGATAGGTGAAAACAAGATTCTTCCCTTAATAATTATACTTGAGAAGTCCAGAATTGAAAGCATAAACTTGAAACCAAAATTCAAATAACATCTCAATAGTTATCTGAGTGAATTCTTTGATCTATTTGTGTCTTGAGCTTTTATGTAAAATGAAAGTTATCTTTACTACAGAATCAAAAGAGTTCATGTTTGATTACCAGGCATAGAACAAACACTATTTCTATTGTGTCCAGAATAGTGTTCAGCACAAAGTAATCATGACAAAAGCACTTACCATGAAACAGTTGAGTAAATTTGTTACCAGATTTTTCATTGAGCATTTGTGATGGTCTATATTATATTTGTTTTATGTTGTGGTTCTTTAGTTCTTTGATCTTCCTTGAGAAGATTTGCAAGAAGGCCCACAAAAGGAAAATCAAAATCCAAAAGTATCAGTTTTAACAAGCTCTTTATTATGAAACAAACATAGTCTTAGGTGTATACAAAGATTTAGTTGCTTACTGTATCCAACTGACTGAAAAAGGCATGTATTTCAAGACAGTTAGAATTTCATGTGACTATGAAACTCAAAAGTACTAGAGAGAAAATTAGATTTGGAACCATTAGCAGTAGTAACCTATAGCATGTTGCACCTACAGCATGTTGCATAGAAAGGACATAGGAAATGACATGAACACAATGACTAAGCTGAGTACATAGGTAAGCTTCAGAAAGAAAGCAAATTTGAAGTGTAACATGTAGTCCTATGAAACAAGAATCATAAATTCTTAGAAATTTAAGAAAAATCTACTTGTTAAGCTCAGAATTTCTTTATCTTAGTAGGACACCTCTAGATAGATTTGAATGTCTTCACTTAGGGAGAATTTTAACTTTTAATCATGTTTAAGTTTTAAATTTTTATGTCTAAAATTTTTCTTTTCACATATGTTTCAATACTTCAAATTTTGGTTTTGGAAAACATGATTTGTACATGAGTACTTTTTGTTCAGTTGATCTTTAATTTAAGGGGTTTGTAGACTTTTCTGTGGAAGCTTACTAACATTCCTGACTGTTAAAATAATATTTCACTGTTTTTCTTGCCCTGTAAAGTTTGTAATAACTTTAGTACAATTTGGGAAGATTCACAGCGCCTATAAAAATCAGCTAACATTTTTTTAAAAGATTAGTCATTACATAAAAAAAGTTTATGTGCAAATATTAAATACAAGATGACAACTTCTGATTTCAAAAGTAATTATCAATACTGAATTTTTCATTCATTAATCATGAAAATGTGTTCCATTTCCTCTATGTAGGCAAATTCAGATACGCTTTTTGTAAATCTGACTTTAACTCTGGCAAGCCAGCACTCTTGTGTTAGAATAGCATTTTGTTCATGGTGAGGTGGAGAAAAAATATCTACCCCATCATTTTATCAATTACTCCTAAATAAAGAATTGACTGAAATGTAAATTTAAACCTGCTTAGAGCTTGTCCTAAAAAAAAAAAAAATCACTGAACAGGAGTGGTGTATTCTCTACATTCTATACTAATGGGAGAGATTGCCAAGCATTCCTGAAATGTTCTCACAGATTCTTGTTACTGTTTTAAAGCCTACTTCATCTTAGTACTAGAGGTACCTGCTACTGATCCATAATAATTATTCTGTGTATGGCAGGTGCTGTGCTAAATACAATATATACCTTTACTATAATATGTCCGTGAGATTTTATAAATTAGGGCATCAAAGAAGACACTAAAGTTTGTAACAGCTGAAAATTGGAAAACTGACTTGCAAATATAGAACTATTCTACTTTCCTTCAAAGTCTGTTAACTATTGTTTTACTTATTTATACTAATGATTAAATGTCTTTACCATCCCTGTGATACATATAGTAGTCACAAATATACAGGGAAAAGTGAAGAAATTATCAATAGAGATTATTTTGTAGGAACAAAGACGGTGAAGCAAAAAAGGAAAAAGAGATTATAGAAAATGTCAGGCAACAAAGAAAGAAAGAATGAAGTTCTTAATGAAGGTAATAATCTTAAGAAATAATTAAAAGACTAGTGAAAAATAGAAGTGTGAATTGTGTTAAGATTAATAGCAAATTAGAAGGAAATAACATTTCACCAGGAAGAAATTTAACTTGTGCTTGCAAAAGGCACAATAACATGAAAATATGCAACTATAGTTGTTATTAAGTTGTTACAATTGTGCTGTAATTATAGTGCATATATAAATGATTTGAGCAAAAAATTAGGACAATAAAAATATACTCTTCCTAAAGGAACAGGTGTAATGTTGAACTAGGCAACTCTGAATGGTCTATAATTCTTGCATTTGATTTTGGTTTTATTTAAGAGTCAGAATGGAAGGATTATCAAATTCCAAATTTAGTCTATTTATGAGATGAAAAGCATCAAGCTTATCATTATTTTGAGTAAATAAGCATAACCTTAAAAATCTGCATTTAATTTTATACCTTATTTTGTCTAGCCATGTGTAAGCAAGAAACTTCTTCATTAACTGATACTGTAGAGCAAATTGCAAAGCAACAACAATCACAAACGTCAGAAATAGAAAAAAACAAACAAGCTCTGTTCCATTTACAGGTAACTTATATATTTTAAATGTCATTATTTCAAAAAATTTTTAATGATAGATTGGCATCTCCAATATTAAGAATACTTTAATTCTTAAATTAATTTTAAATTAATTTTAATTTTTATTAAATTTAATTAAATTTTAATTTTAGTTACTCTCCATTTGTCTCTTCTTCCATAAAGACTACATGAGTATTTCAGGTTTATAGAACATTTTATATCCCCAATACAATATAAATATTCAAAAATGTCATTCTCAACTGCAATATAAATATATGAAGCACATGTCACATAGGATTATTTTACATTTATTTCTATTTGATAGTTGTTTTCTAAAGTGTTAACTCAAAGAAGATTATATAGTAAGTTAGTGAAAATTGTGGCTTGCAAGTTACTAGTTGTCAGTAGACATTCTAGTTGCTTCTGTTTCTTTTCAGCACTTTCATAATATATTCATAATCCCACCACAGGGAAAATGGGAGTGTGCAACCTAATAAGTACAACTGTATTCTGTGAAAATGACTAAAGAAAATGAAAACAGTGTTTTTGTTTTGTAGAAGTTGCTGTTAAATAGATTATAGAAATGATAAGAGGCTCTAGGGCTGAACTGCCTTGTTTGAAAGGCCAGATTTGCTATTTATAGCTCGGCAGTTGAATTTTTCTATGCCTCTGTTTCCTTAGCTGTGAAAGAGGGATAATAGAACCTACCTCAAAGATTTTCATGACCATTAAATAAGTGAATTTGTAAATAAATGTATTTTGTAAGGTCCTGGTGGACAGTATTAAGCTTCTTTTGAATTTAGGTGTTAATGTATCAACAGACATATAATAATTTTATAAATGTAGTAATAAGGATTTCTTATATGTTATTCACTTCTATTGAGTTATTTTATGCAACACAATATAGCAATGATAATGCTTTAGATTTCTGTAATTTTCTGTAAAACTCAGTCTTTAAAGTGTTTCACAGACATTTCACTTGAGAGCCTGCATTCTGTTAAGCTTTCTGTTAAACATTGTACTTACCCATGGATTGTTAATCACCTATCGCAAAGAGACAAAGAAATAAATACAGGGTAGTACTGTCAACAAAACATGAACCCAACACAGATTGAGGACTGAAGAAGGAGTGATCATAAATAAGGACTGTTTCAAAGTTGAGTTTTAAAGAATAGCAGGAGTTCACCTGAATAATTGGGTATTTGGGACATACTTAATGGTTAGGTGGTAAGGAGCTTGATATATCAGGCTTATTCCTCTGTGAATAAGAGGCTTCACAGAGGCCTGAGATAACATTGTCACACTCACAGAATCATAAATACTTTGATGGTGACGTAACATAGAGTAGTTTTTTCAGGTTTATTTAGCTTACAGTTCGTGGGGGTTTCAGTCCTTAATCAGCTGATTCCAAGGCAGGGTGGCATGGCACAGAGGCTACATTTCAAAGCAACAGAAGACAGCAAAAGCAACAAAAGCAAAAAATGCAGAGGAAAAAACAAGCCTCTTTTCCTCCCTTACACTGCATACAGGCTCTCCACCCTCAGGACTGTAGCACTCACGTCATATCCAAGCCCTCTTGCACAGGCTCAGGATGTTTACAAAGTGGAGGTCCTGGCTCTTGCTAAGTCACTTAGTTAAATTTTTTAATTTCTCCAGTTGACACAGTGAACAACATCCTAGAGGAAAGAAGAGGTCCTCTACACCCTAGGATGTAGAACTGCTTTGGTATTTATTTAGACTCCTGGACTTCTCAAATTGACACAATGTATCAACCATAACATCTGAAGATAATACATGTTCATCAGTATGTTTTATTTTGTGTACTTACCTCTTTTGTTTCCCCCTGCGAAAAGGATAAAAGTTTTGTTTTTTTGTTTTCTGTTTTTTAACATACTGCTTTCTTTCTAGTGTTTCAAATCTATTGGAAGAGAATGAGTATACTAGAGAGAAGAGAGAATTGAGGATTATTAGTTATTTAAATACCAAATTAACTTATCTAGTGAGAATTACAGTGCTAGAAAGAAGAAAGGATTCATCAGAATCATTTTATTGGGAGGAATTGTAGAATTCGATAAACAGTTTGGTAAAGACAAAGGAAGAATTAATGATGTTTCCGAAGGTGGTACTGCTAGCTTCATTTGGGAATATAAGGATGTGTTAATTTGCATTTTTGGTCCCAATTTTTCAACTATTTTTATATGCACACTCTTTGTCACATCTTGGGTGGACACACTTTTGTTCCTGGACTCTTGAGTTTGATCATGTGACTAGCTAGGATGTTAGCAGATATGATTCACGAAAAAGCTTTAAAAACACAAACATTTGCATTTTCACTCTTTTACATCTGCTATCATCAATAGATGGATGTTCCTGTGCTGGCCTACTGATGCATAAGATACACGTAACGCAGAGATAAGACACCCCCAGTGAGCCCAGTTCAAGCCAACCCCCATAATTTTGTTTTTTAATTGAATATAAACATTTAAGTTTCAATTTTAACTATTTTTAGAAGCCATTCTATATACTTGTGTAGTAAAGAGCAATAAAAATTAGAAACTGCAGGATCAAGCATTCCTGAGTTTAATGCACATTTGTAATCCTAACATTCAGGAGGCTGAAGTAGGAAGAGTGCCACAAGTTTAGGGCCAGCGTGGGCTCCATAATGAGTTTAAGGCCAGCCTGGACTACTTAGTAAGATCCTATCTCAAAAACCCCTCAGAATTCACTATTAGATGTGTCACTTTTGCATTTAACACTCCAGGACCTTAGTTTTATTATCCACTCAGTGGGAATAATAATGACAGCTGCTTAGGATGTTTGCAACTCATCTGAATCTTTTGCCTTTTACATAAGTTAACTGGATGGAAAACTGCTCGTTTCACTAGGAACAATTAGATTCAAGATTCTTTTTCAAAAAATTCTAGAGGAGGAATTAAATGAAAATACCTTTCTATTTTCAGAGTACTTACAGGTTTCTTCCTGAAAGCAATTTTTAAAACAAGCATAACCCACCCCTCTGACATTTGAGCAAACCTAGCCAGTCCCCACTGTTCCTAGTAATGTGAATCCCCTACCCAATCCTAACTGCTCCCAAGCATGTCAGTAATAAACACCTATGTACTATTGTACGTCGCTAAAGTTCTGTGTTTCTGGCAATAGATAACTGATACAACACTAGGGAAGGAGGAAAGATTAGTCTGATTTTTGGGCACAGGCTAGGGAGGGAGGAAGCAGTAGCCTGAGTTTTGGACATGATTATTTTAAGATGGCCAGTGTTAGCCAAATACAGAACTCAACAAACATATACAGTCTACAAATCAACAGAAAATACATACCTCAAAATGTGAATATGGATGAGATTACTGAGGAAGTATTTTTAGCATGAGAAGAGGAAGTTATAGTGACTGAACTCTGGGGAAGACCCATATTTGAAGGAATCATCTTGAACAAGAAAAAATACTCAAATAGCTAAGGAGAATGAGAGACTAGTGGTGTGAAAACTAGGTTTTAACATGGAAATACCAATTAGCAATGCCAAATGCCCCACTGAGGCAAAATAGATCTCTTCGTATTAATTTTACAAAGAGGTTGAGGCATGAGTGTCTGTATATAGATATATACACATTTTCCCCTTCATTCTTTTTTCCTTTCCCCTATCCCAGTTGTTTCCTTTTGAGCAGTTTCTTTCCCTTTCACAATCTCTATTGTACCTTTTGGATCTTATTTATGCTTTCATTTTCATATACTAGGAAGACAATATGATGTTTACACATGCAAATCTAATTTGTTTCACTTCTGAGTATGGTCCCTAGTTGCATCCATTTAACTATAAAAGCCTCGAGTTTGTTTTTCTTTATAGATGAGTACTACTCTAATGTATAAAAATATCACTTTTTTTATCCATTCCTTGGTTGATGGGCATTTGGATTGTTTCTAAGATCTAGGAGTTACCAATTGGGCTATTATAAACATGGTTGTACATATATTGCTGTGGTGTGATATTTTCAGTTCTGAAAAAATAGAAGGGAATAGCTGGGTTGGATGGGACCTCTGATCCAAAGAACAAATGAATATGAAAAGTAAGAAATACATAACCCGAGACTTTTTTGAGATTATAATGTAGTTGTTATGCTAATATGTTTCCTTCTATTGTATGTATCAATTTTGATATATTTGATAAATATATATTTTCTCACATACATTATGGACCAAAACAGTGACTTTTCTCTCATGCTGAATTCTATGAATCAATAATTATAATGTTGAAATATATTACAGAATGAACTTCAGGAACTTGAAAAACAAATAGCAGCAGTCTCTGCAGAAACTAAAGAAACAGAGAGGCAAATTTATCAGCAAGATGCTGTCATTGAGAATTCCAAACTTCAATGTGAAAGCCTGGAAATTCAAATCAAGTCCTTACATAAAGAAAATATAAAGCTTAAATTTGATATAGAATCAGCCCAAGAAGATTTTTGTGAACAGATGAAAAAATATAATGCATATTATGTAAAAATAAAGACACATAAAGATAATTTAGGGGAAATAGAAAGAAAATGGTCATTTATGACTGAACTTGATGAAAAGCGAGATCTCATTAAAAAACTGAAGACAATGAAAGAGGAACTTAAGCAAAACCTCCAAAATCCAGATGAAATAACACAAATTCAGGTTTGAATTATTACTTAACAAAACTTTTCTTTACTCTTTTTTTTGTAAGTACAAATGCTAAACAATAAATTCATCATTAAGGTAATAAAACACCCATAACTATTTACTACATTCATAATTTTCAAAAACTGGGGTAAGTACACGAGCTATGTAACAGCTATCCAAAATGTGCAAAGGCACAAAAGATTTTTTACAAGTTCCTTGTAGATTTGTAAAAATACATGATCAGACAAAAATCTCAGTGAACAATTAATCAATTTGTTGGAGAACATGTAATTTACCAATGTTGAGGCTCTAGCTTCCTTACTAATTGATGTGGACCACTTCAAATCAGTGTACTGTGCTTAATGCTATTATGCAAACAATCTGAATAAATAATTAGACCTTAAGCATCTTGGTATTTCTAGTAGCATTTTCTGAAGACCATAGAAGATACGAAATTAAAATATGTATCATTCCTTTCTAGAGACTCTACTGTTGCCAGGCAATTGCATCATAAGTTCATAACTACCACTTTCCTTTATGTCTTTCTTTGTTTTTAGGTTCAGTACTTTAAAATCTAATATTTGTTCAAATAATAGTTCATCTTACATATCTTTAGAAAGTAATATTTTAATCCTACTTATCAAAATTAAGTTTTGATATAACTAGATTTCTTAAATTATGGAAACACAAAGACTTGGATTTATATTAACCAGTCTTTTTTTCACTTGTATATTTTAAATTTTATAAATACATAGGAAGAGATTTCAAAGCTTAAGAATGAGATTATAACTGTAAAAGAATCTATCATTGAAAAGACTTGTTTTCTTGAAGAAGAAAAAAAGACACATGAAAAATTAAGAAAAGAAATAGAGGTAAGTCTTAATTATCTAAATTTCAATGTTTATGAGACCATTTTTAAGCTTGTGCTATAGTTATATTTCCACATAGTTTTTCTATATAATAATTTTATTCTCAGTTCATGAGAGAACAGAAGAATTACAAAATTTAGTAGATATATATAAATCATTAGTAGATAACTAGAGATGACACCTCATTCAAAAATGATCAAGTAAGTGAATGTGCTCCAGTAAAGGAAGTACTACTGCTTTAAATGTGGCCTAGAATTCTTCCAGGTCTCCTTCCACTAACAACTTGATATCTGCTTAATAGCTAGAAGGCAGAGATTGAATTGTCAAAGAGGATGGTCAGTCTTAGATATCAGTGCCTCCTTAGAGTAAAAGATGATGGCAATCATTGGTATTCTAAACCAAGCTGATTAAAAAAAACAAGCTGATATTACAAAGATCAAAGTGAGTCTAAATTTTTAGTCTTACGGTACTAACTATAGACTTGAGTTGCTTAGATAAATACAAAATAAGCATGGAAAAGAATGCACTATTAATGGAAAAATAATAATTTTACCATTAAGATTAATTTGGAAAATAAAATGGATATTTTAACTTGCTATAACTAATGTGGCATAATAAAACAAGCAGCTAAAGATTCAAAGGTAGAGGTACTCACTGTACTTACGTAACAGAAGCCACACTTTTACCTTGTAGTTTACTAGAAACTTAAGTCAATTAGGGTTTTTTATTTTTTCACTTCTAAATCTCAGTATAAAATAATCAAAAAGAAAATATATAGGTGGTATAGAAATTAAAAAAGATTAATGAAACAGAAAAATAGAATCTAGAAAGAACCCAGGCATAAATGATATAAAGAGAAACATAAACTATAGAAAAATAAAAGTTAAAGTAAATTTGATTTTCATTTTATAATACACATTCATCAGAGTAGTGAAAAAAGAAAAACATAACTATTTGTGCTAGAGAAATACTTAAAATTTAAACATACTCATTATTAAATATTTTTTACTTTTGAATATGTAATTTCTAGATTCTAAAAATAGACTATAGCAATAGAGAAGATTCAGCTCTAGAGATTACATTTATAATACATATAAATGATAAGAAAATGTCTAACCAAAAAATATTGGGTAAATGATACAGAAAGACTTCTTTGATACACAATTATCTAAAAAGCAATGGAAAACCTGCTTACCCTATTAACAATAAGATTGACAGTCAACACCACACTAAGGTCCCATAGTTAGCCATCAAATTAAGATGTAGAGCAATTTATTTTTAATATACTGTTGGTATGAGTATGAATTGCATATTGGAAAGAAATTTGAAATTAAGTTTTTATATAACATATACATTGTAAATGTTTAGCTTGATTAATCTTGATTAATATTGTTAGGTAAGCAGTGACACAGCCTCAATTTCGGGGTTCTGTGCAATAACTTCAAAGGAGAGTCCATGTCATTTAAGACCTTAGGACCTCAGTTTTATTGAACTGGGCCTTTTATGGATACAGTAGGTGGTATTAGTGAGATGGGGTGTGGTGGATGAGGTTAAGGGAGTAATGTGAGATTAGGAAAGTGAAAATGGCTGAGTTTTTAATTCTGTTATTTTCAGGACATTTAAAATTGGTCTTAAATTACATCAGAATATTATAGTCAAAAAGGAGAAAAATTAAGCAAGTAAAGGTTCGTCAATAATTATAAAAATAAAGAACACGTACAGTCACATTACCATCTTGGGAGCATCATTTCTTGCCCCAAACAACGTATTTACTGCTTGATGGGAGTGGACCATTGATGTCACCTCCTTTCGAAAACAGCCAGTCTTTAAAAAGAGAATGAATTCAAATTCCAGAAGATTACTATTATTTCTTCTTTTGTTTCATATTTTCTATCTCTTCTGAATATACTTAGTCATTGCCCTGATACATGTAATTCAAGGGTCATCTTTTACCTGAACTATAGCATTCATGTTCTAATCTTTGAATGCTTTCAAACATTTTGTGCCTTGTATATTTTAGTTTTTATGTTAACATTTTTTAGTTCAGAAAAAATGGAAATGGTTCTTGAATTTCAGTGTTTTTCTGCCAAATAAATATTTTTAGTATATCTAGGACATCCTTAAATGAAAAAAGCATTTCCAAATGTCCCAAAATGTCTTCTTTTCCCCGTGTGTTGTCTGTCCTTATATATTTTGGAAGGAAGAAGCTAAAGATAAAAAAGAGAATAAAGATAAGGTATGAGTCACTAACAAAAAATGAGGGAAGCAAAAATATAAAACGTAGAAACAGAGAGTTTCAAATACAGAGTACTAAGCAACAATCAGGGATTTTTTTCATTTAAAACTTTTAAGACGTATTATTTGTCAAATTCAAGAGGAAACTAGAGCAGTTAAAGCTGGATTAGTTTTTAGTAAATGATAATTCCACAAGCAATATTTGTGACAACACATTGTATAAAACACTGATGATTTAGTCTTGCCTAAATTTTGTATAATTATCTCAAAGTTTCAGAGGTGAGCGGAAAAAATCAATGCATTTTGAGAGTTACTAGAGGTCATGAACAAAGTATGTTTCAATATACAGTACAACTCACAACGGATGTACAGCTATATAATTGACAAATGCATTCATATATGCTGTCAGCAAAAGAAATGATTGCATGGCTAGAAACCAGGTCTATGAGAAAAACTAGAGAAACAAGGTAAAGGTGAACTAAAGAAAGATAAGAATTATTCCAGTTAGGTAGATTACATGGTAACAAATTACTCAGTTTTTTAGAAGGGACAAGAACCTATGTTCAGTACTATTGAGTCTATTTTTATTTGTTGAATTCCTGATATTTTTCAAGGAATCTATACAGGTTATCTTATTTAAATATTGTGGCATTTCTTACAAAATTTCATAAAATTTAAATAATGTTATAAATTTATATGGCCAAGGATCAGTGACAAAGCAGGATATGAAAACAGATCTGTTGGACTGTGTTTCTCTCAGATCTATTGAAAATTTGATTTTAGGAATGTATTCTTGATAATTAAAATATTAGAGGGATGGTAATAATTCCTGTCACATTCTTCTATCTTATCACTCATAAATGGCACATACCATATGGGTAAATACAGGTTACATAAATTACTATCCATATAATTTTGCAACAGATTTACTTAATAATCTCTCTTACAGATTTTTCACATTAGCATATATTAGCCTACAGCTTTTTAATTGCTGCAAAATAGCACACAGTATGATAATACTCTAATTTGCATAGCCATGTTACACCTGGTAACATTTAAATGGTTTCCATGCTTTTTTCCTAAAGTAATGTTGAAATGAATACTGTGATAATACTCTTTGCTCCAAGATTTGGAAATACTGTGGTACTTTGATTCATGAACGCTTTTATTTGCAGACAATTTGATTTACAAACAAGTATTTACCAAAAATTTGGTTTTGTTTATAAACTCTGCATGGGAAAACAAATATGACCATGGCCATATTTCCCACACAAACACAAAAACGGCCATCTTTTCTAAAAGTGTAAAACAAATTAAGTTCATGAATCAAGGTACTTTCTTTTAATTATTGTGACCCTGAACCTTACATTTCAAATAATCTTACTTTCTATGAATTCTCATGAATATAATTCGATAAATATTCCACTTGGACTTATTGGGAGCTTCACATTTGCATATTAATTCCCTTCACATCCTTCTCTGTAACTGAAACTATATGTGCACAAGGATAAAACTAAGAGCAGTTGGGAAACAATACTTAGTAGACCTGATAGACTCAATTTAGAGATTTCAGTGTCTTCTCAATATAGGATATGCCTATTTCACTTTGCTGCCAAATCATAAGAGTAAAAACTATTTCCAGAACTAAGAGTTAAGACAAAAACTGAAATATGGACAAGACTTTTATCCACAGATTTAAAATCAAAGGATATAAAACAGTATTTCGTGTACCAGAAGTCCCAAAGCAAGCAGGAGTAGCAATTTTACTCTCAGATATCTAGGCTGCATCTCTTAAAATATTTTTCAAAAACAAAACTGCAATTATTTTTCAGGTGAACTTTGTTTCTAGTAGCTTTGTACTATAAGAAATGTTGAAGTTCCTAAAGCTAAAAAGAAATAGTACTGGAAAGGAATGAAAATGGAAAATGTTGGGTAAACAAATGAATATTTTTCTTGTATTATTTAAAAATCAGTTGATAGTTAAACATACAAATTATGTTGGGTTTTATAGCATATGCACAATGAGGTATATCTCAATCATATCCCTTTCTTATAACATTCTTATATTTTACATGAAGTGATACAATAATTGAAGATAAATTGTGTGTTAAGGGGACATAAAATTCCTACAGTAACTTCTTTTAAATTTTTATTTTTCATTGGCACATAATTATACTTATCAGTAGGATAGTGTATGATGTTTGAATTCACATATACATTGCATAATGATCAAATCAACCTGATTACCATATCCATCACCTTAAACAGTTATCATTGTTTACCACTAATTTGTGGTAAGAACATTCAAAATCATCTCTTCTAGCTATTTTGAAATAGACAATGTTTTAGTATTACCTGTAGTCACTGTACTCTGCAAGAGGAGACCAGAACCATACCCTTAGTTATATATACTCATTCAGTATTTCCTCACTTCCCTCTTTCCTGCTTTCCCCGAACACTGGTCACTACTATTCTACTCAGAATTTAACATTTTTACATTCTGCATGAGTTAAATTGTGCAGTATTCGTCTTTTTATTCCTAGTTCATTTCAATTTGCATGATGTTCTCTGTGTTGTTGTAACAAATTTCATTCTTTTTATGACCAAATATTCATCTATTTACTTATCTTTTTTATTTACCTTGCCATCTGCTGAAGGACATGTAGGTCAGGTCCACATCTTGGTTATTGTAAATGGTGCCTATAGCAAGTTATTTTAAAAATATACATAGAACAGATATATTCAAGCAGACAAAGGAACAAATAATA